AATATATAGCTTTGCAATGTTCAAAGTTAAGCGACGGCGATGGAATGTGTTTTACGTAGAGTACACATGTACCTTTCCCACCCTACTCCCACTACTTTCTTGCCTCTAGACTAATCATGAATTAATTGAAATTAATTAATTAAATAAACATTAAAGTTTACACCTTAGCGCCATAGCGCCATAGCGCCTTAGTTCCTTAGCGGCAGGCAACCCCCATAACCATCCCAATAGTGCACTCTGCACTAAAAACTGTGAACTTCGACGAACAGATAAAGTTCAAGGACAAAAATCCGAAAATATTTTCAAGCCAAATGGAGGCTATTGTGTTTACCATCCTTCAAATATTTTTCGCAACACGAGAATTGGGGAATATCATTCGGATATTCCCCAGTTTTAGCTGGCGCATATTCAGTCGCATGACGAGTTTAGACCAGTCGCGTGCGAGCGAAAATATTTGATGGATTTACGATTATAATAAAAGTTATTTAAATTACTTGCAAACAATTGTGAAAGATATTAATTTGGACAAAAAAAGTGTCCGAAAATAAAACCGTCCGAAATTTTAAGCATCCGAAATATCTACAGTACAGTATAAAACTTTGAAGTAGCTCCAAAGCTCTTAGTTTCCTTTATGCCGGGCTTTATGAAGCGGACTATAGTTGAAACATTGCTTGAAATACGAAACGGCTTGACATGATGTGTTATTTTTCTTGTCGGTGTATTCGTAAAACCTCGAGGCTGAAGTAAAACTATCATTTTCACAGATGCTGTTTCAGTCAAATTCGTGTTTTGTAGGTATAAATTTACTTAATAAGCTATGTTTCAGCAAAGTGTCAAAAATTGTTGTCCGAAATTTGTCCTAAATGAGATCAAAAGTGTTCAAAAATTAAATGTCCGAATTTTTTTTGCAAGTAATGCACTCTAAATTTGTACATACCTCTTGGGGGAAAAATGAAATCAAGCCACGCTTACAACACAAGGTTCGAGTTCAAATGGCTCTATGGGTTTTCTTTCAAAATTCCTTCTCACTTTTAAAGCATGGGAATCCCCTCAGTATCACACAGTAACAGAACAGCAGGTTAAACAACTTTAAACATTCAGTTAAGCCCAGACAAGCACATTCATAAGTCCATTTTTTTCCACAATGATAGCTCCTTTGGGTTGCCTAGCTATGGCGGACAAAGTCAGAATTCATTTTTAATGAACTCCAGTACAAGAGGAAACACAACTTTCCTGGACGCTGTTAAATTTTCCTGATCATAGACAAAACACTTTTGATAAGATTCACTGAACTGTCTCAATTTAAGCTCTCCCGATTTACTCAAATGTTCCGCAAGTTTTCTCTTTGCATCTTCGTGTGGACCACAAACAGCAATCTGCCTTCTAGGAGGGTCATCCAGACTTTCCACAAAGTATAGAAACATGATCACCAGCACATCTAGTGATGTTGAGTGGCAGTATTCTAATAAATTCTGTTGTACTTGTGTTCTTGAGAAGAACTCGCTCAGTGATAATCCACTGATGGAGCTGATACCAACATTAAGATTATTGACGTATGTAGGTAAAGCTTTGTAGTCTTTCCGAAGAAGATCCAATGTGGAGAGCCCAGAGACATCAAACTTTGCTGTTTGGTGAAAGAATGAAAAATGATTTTAAAAAATCATGTAATAAAAAAGACTTTTAAACAGCAAGTTGAAATGTTACATTATTTTTGAAAATGCGAATGTAAGTGCACACAAGAAATGGCAAATGAAGCATTAGGCGAGTGTGTCACTGATGTTACCACATTTTAATGTCTTCTTTAATCTATTACTGAACAGACACACAACAACATGGAATCTATCTGTTTTCCAAAATAAAGTAACAAAAAAAAATGTAAATGACGTCATTTATGTCCGTTCTCCAATAGATCATAGGAAAGAAAGAATCATAATAATATGAGAGAATAATATGACTTAAAAATAATGATAAATAATTATTCAATACATAATAAGCTCATGCTAAGGTTACACGCAGGTGATGACCATCAGCACTTCAAAAAAGAGTCCTAAGTTCAAAATTAAAAGTGGCACACAAGGTTAACCAACCTGTGCTTACAGATCTGTATAGTTCATCTAGAGCCACGGGATATTTATCCTGCAATTGTCGAACAACTTCTTTGTCTTTGTCTGTGGATCGTGCTGCTCTAGGATCCAAATTAATTGTGTCTAGAAGTATTGTTCCTAATAGGAGGCCAGTTATTTGGCTGTCCAACACATCCATTGTCAGCAATTTCTCAGCCACAAGTGTGCAGCAGGATCCCACAAGTTCAATTTTCTTGCTGACTTTTAAGTCAGCTGGCCATTGATCTTTATGATGGTCTGAAAAAAAGAAGTAAAAATTAAAAGTGCTTCAAAGACTTACTAAAAGACTTTAAAGGCTTACTACTATAACTAAATGACACAACTTTTTAATTTCAAAGACGTGACTAGTAAAGGTTTTGATGAAGGGCAGCCTTTTAGCCAGATAGGTGTCCAGGCTTCTTGTGAACAGCCACTTTTTAAAGAAAATTGTCTTCATTTTCCATATGTTGCTTCATAAATTGTTCATCTGAGCAGGCCCTACAGCACACTTTGGACATCCACTTTTCAAATCCTGGCTAAAAGCCTGATGAAGGGGATAATGAAAGTCCAAAGTTTTTCAACTTTTTCCTACTAGTATCAATGTATCATTAACATAGAGAAGTAATAAATAAAAAACGACAATAAGTAAAAAGGAATAATAATAATAATCCAACACATTTAATATACAAAATAATATACAGAAGATAACTCGTTAAAAAGAATGTCAAAAATTTAAAAATAAACGTAACAAAATATTAAAAGTTCCACTCCTAAAATCTCGCTAGTTCCCTACCAATTCCAAAGTAGCTAAAGTGTATAAATTACTGTACAAAGTTACCAGTTGCAAATATGGCAATTACAATCAGCGGTCAGCGACATAGTTATTTTTTGAAGTTGATTTTTGAAGGATGAAAGAGTTTCGGATTGTCTAATGGCATCAGGATGATTGTTTCATAACTTGATGACAATGTACGAAAAAGAATGATGTAGATATGCAGACTTAAAATTAGGTAATAGCAGAGCTCCAGCGGCCCAAAGGGCCACCAAGCGGAGCCCCATACCCGTGTAGGAAAGAAAAGGAAACCCATGAATTGATTTTCTCATGGTTATCATGGCTAGCAGTACTGCTTGTGGGCACGCATGCATGAGTTGACGATGACGGCAGGGTTGCCGAAGATTTTTATTTATTTACTGTATTTATTACAGATTCACTCCACTAAATTACAAACAGACTTAACAGCAACAATTAATTTTAATGTGATTTATTCTACTAAATTACATTAAAATTAATCGCTACTGTAAAGAAAAGTTGTGGAGGAGACAACCAAAAGTGCTGTGGCACCGTACCAGGGCTGCACCCTCTAATTAAAGTATAACTATTATAACTATTATAACATTTTAGCCTTTGTAGTTTTTTATTTATACGCTCACTAGAATCTTCAGAATTGAAGGAGGTGAGTCGCCCAGGAAGAAGAAGAAGAAGAAGAAGAAGAAGAAGAAGAAGAAGAAGAAGAAGAAGAAGAAGAAGAAGAAGAAGAAGAAGAAGAAGAAGAAGTATACAAGTACATAAAAATAGATGTTTTAGTTGTCCTTAATAAGGCTTAAAACATTCTTTTTAAAAGTTACAATACTATTTGATTCTCTAATATGATAAGTTAAACCATTCCATTCATTCAATATGGTTAAAAAAAATTAAGGCTATTAGTTCTCCTAAAATTTGGAACAAGGTCCTGTGTGTCATGTGTGTTATAACCTGTGTTTCTGTCCTTACAAAACACAAGCTTATTTGAAATGTCTATTTAACAAATTGACGTCAGTTTTTTATGCATCTGTCTTCTTATTGATGATAAATTGCATCATAACATTGTCAAAGTGGCTGTGCAACCACAAGCCACAGGCGAGTGGTTCCACAGTAAACTTTGACAATGTTATGACAAAATTTATCATCAATAAGAGGACAGATGCATAAAAAACTGACGTCAATTTGTTTTTTACAGTAACAAGACCCCCAAACTGGTCAAATGCCAGGAATAAATTAATGAGGGCAAAAGACCTAATATGTTTTTAAATGTAATATGTATATTTTGTAATACGTAATACGTAATATCTAATATGTAAACCAAAAAAAAAAAAAATTTGCAGAGCGTGAAAAGACCTGGTACGAGTTTAGTGTTACAGTGTTACACAGGACTTGTAGGTAGCGTAACACTTGTCAATGTAAAATCTTCAGTAGAGTAAATTACACGATATTTTCTAACGGGAAAGTACTAACAGCTTGAGCTTGACAATAGTAGCATAAGCATCACAATGAACAAATTGAGATTTCATTGTTTTGTACTGGACATTTGATTGGCTGGATTTGAAAATGTTGGAATCTACTGTTTCATTTCTGCCACCTCATTGGTTTTCATTGTCTGGGTGGCCCCGGTTTCAGTAAACGTGCTGTAATACTTATCTTTCTTTAGTTCTAATAACACAACATTCTGCTCACTTCTTGGTTATAGCTGTTCATTAAAGCTAAAAAAATACAAATATGCACATGAATTGTACACCTACCTAAGACTTCAGTGACAGCAACATCCATGTGCTTTTGTCTTTGAGCTAAAATGTTGTGATCAACTAAAACAAGTTGCAGTCTTTTTGTTTCCAACAAGTTTTGCAAGTCAACATCTTCTACAAATGTAATATAACTGCAATCAAGATGAAATCTCTTGAATAGGAACACTGCTTCAGTGCGCAGACAGAAGTCTTCCCTGGGTATGTTGAACACTGGAATAACAGCTGTTGGTCTTCCAGGAACACTGAGGAGTTTCTTCAAAAGAATAAACAAGGTGTTGATTACTCATGAAGCACATTGGACAAAACTGTTCTTGCATCCAGTCAATTTGCACAGTACCCTGCCAGCCCTTTAAAACCTCTTCTTCACCTAGCGATACAAAGAGACTTGACTACCAGTTTTTGGTTGCATGGGTTTACCTTGTCCAACTGTAATACATGTTTACCAGCATGAGATCTACAGTTTCTCTTCTTACATTCATCACGGTCTCTGCACACCTGTGATGCTCTACAGTACTTGCTTTAGTTACAAGATATCTAGTACATTTCTTGTGCCTCTCACCTTGTAAATGGAGAATGCATACACAAGAGATGACACCATTGAATCAAGATCACAAGCTTCATTGCCAAGCACAACATGAACCTCAGAAAACTGAGACAGCTTCTCCACACAGTCCTAATATAAATTTCAAATTAATAAAACATAGAAATAAGTCTGAGTGATACATAATTCCAGTGATCTCCTCAAAAGTCAAAATCATTGTTCTTTACAGGAATATAATAACTGCAGATGATGAATAACAACAAATCAGAAGCTGTGTTTACTATCCACAATACCACAAGCGCCCTCTGGATATGAGATAATAGATAGCCAATGAGGCACATGGCGTTGAGTTCAATTTTCCCTGACTTTTCTTCCAAAAATTGTCTATTTTCCCAGACTCAAAGTAAAATTCCCTGCCTTTTCCTTAACCTATTTTTTTCCCTGACCATTTGCTGACCTGTGCCAACCATGTTCTCTTACAGTAAGTAAGCTTATTATATGGCTAGCTCTGTGAGCAGGCAAGATGAATCAAATCCTGCGCAGTGATTGGCTACCCGAGCGGGCAAGATGGAGCTATCTTGCCCACTAGGGACTACCCGCCATGTCCCCCAAGAAACATTTCCCTGAAAGCCACATAATAAATCCTTTATTGACCAAGCTTGTTCAGTCAAGATGGCTGAATATTGGCCTCGTTCTTTTTTTGCAAGTTTATGGACCTCGACTCCGTCTGGGTCCATAAACACACAAAAAAGAACCTGGCGAATATCCAGCCATCTTGACTGAACAAGCTTGGTAAATAACCCATATTTATTGATGTACACTGTAACAAGTAGGAATTGTAGCCCAAAAACAGCGGATGTCTACCGCTCTTGGAGCAAAGATTCAGCTGGGGCCGATCTTATAAATATAATTTGACACTTGATTCAACCTTCCTCGACCAAACTATTAAATAGCCTTGTGTGCCTACGTCTTACCCTTGGAAACTGAGGGGGTTTGCAAAACATGTTTTTGACGGCTACCTTCTTCGAGTTATTCAACAACTCAAGTCTACATCTGGTACTGGAATACGTTAATCAGCAATCAGCGCATATTATATCTCAGTTTCTCACGATTACGACAACTACTACCGAAGAACATAATGACTCCTCACGGCTTCAAATGAGAAAAGGATTCAATGAAACATTACCTTACTGTGCTTCAGAAATGCCTCCATTTTGTCCTTATCGATTGGCGGGAAATCAACTGGAATCCAGGCCCTCTCCAGACCCTTGATAGCAAAACCGCTGACGTGTACCGGGGGCTTCTGAAAACTTCTGCAGGACTTTTCAGACCAACTTTCAGACCTTCAAAACATTGAGTTTTGCGCGGCTGCAGTTCTGTAACTTCCATCAACGCTGAATTGTGTCGCATCAGTGTATACAGGTTTGTTTCCATCAATCCCAGAGGTGAGTAAATTTCACGGTCCATGTGTTTGAATTCTGAGGGTAGGGGGTTACTACCCGAAAGTCTTGTGCGGATGTCCTGTCCAGCGCATTTTTTATTAAGTTTAAAATACCGTTACCCTTCTTCAGGCCGAAATACCCAAAAATCGAGGATTCCAAAATCGATACTCTGTTTCGGACCAAAACGGCTCAACTTTTGACACTGCACATGACTCACCTCAGAACATGATTGTATAGGATATAGGCGGAGGGTTGGGTTGGGGGATCGGGGAGGGAGGTTCAATCACCCCTTGAAAATTGTAAGCTTCGTATTTAAAAAGCGTGTTTCTGTTTTGAACGTAGGACTGGTTTAAGACACTGCATTGGGCTATGTAGCATTTAAATGGTTCTTGGGGGTCTTGGGAGTAAAACCCAGTGAACTAAAAATAATTTTTCACCTTTTGCAACAGGAGCAACAGTTTGGCCGCGTGACCTTTGATCAAAGCTAAATGAATTTCGGAACTGGACTTGCTGGAACAATTTTCAGACCAATGCCATGTAACGTTGAGATTTAATGGCAATTTGAATATTGCAAAAAAATTGGAATGTTTTGTTTGCAGTGTAATTGGAAGGAAGGAAGCTTTGCCCTCTGATCCAGAAACCATTATCATCTTATTTGCAAAAAGAACCTGCTGACTTGTAAAGAGGGTTAAAATATTAGGAAGAATGGAAAATTCTAGGCTCTTAAAATGAAAGGCAACGATTTTATTGCGGTTTGAAAACTTGCAAAATCACTGGAATTGTATGGAAAACTACTACAGTGCCTGCAGGCCAAAACACCTTCTTTCCTTAAAAATCCTTATAATTTCCAGCATAATGTTAACCTGAAAATTTGCATCGAAGCTTATTCTGATAACGGTATGCATTACCTGTGACTAAATTAGTGTGTTCTTGTTCAATGAATGGCTTACATTTCATCAACATGGTGTTACATACTAGAGAATAGCAGATTTGCATGTTGACATCATTTGACTACAACTACCAGAATTCCTTTAGTTTTTTCTTTATTATTTAAATTTTGAATTCCCAGTGGGGTTTAAATAACAATTGCCCCAATTAGCATAACAAACAGAAAGAGTGAAGGATTCTGGTAGTCGTAGTCAAATGACACCATCATGGAAATTGCCCATTTTAGAGGAAACAATACTAAATTTCCTGTTAATTAGTTTATACCTACCCATAATTACAAAAAAGTGACAGATGTATTTAAAAGAACTTTTATTGACAATAACAAAGAACTATTGTATTTTCCTCCTCAAAACTTGAGGGATTAACTCTGCTTAGCAGAAAGTAATAAGACTACTGTCAAAGAAACAAGAGAAAAGGGGGTGCAATTGAAGTACCCCTCTTCTTCCATAGGTATCATGATGTAGATACCATCCAAACAATACCTCAACTTTTCACCTGCCCCCTCCAAAAAAAAATTGTCATTGATAGCATCATTGAAAAAAGATGACAGTCTGAGTAATAATCATTAACATCTCTGAGAACACACCTTGTTTTCCTCCTCCTCCTCCTCCCCACCCCCCAAAAATGCAAACATCCTACAATTAAAATAATGCTAAATCTTACCAGTTTCATACTCAAGAGCCAGAGTCTTTTCCACTCCCCCAACCTCTCCCCCTTCCTATAGTCCAACCTCTATCTGTAAACCCTGCATTCCACATGAAAATCACATTCAACATATACTCATCTACATAATTGATGGCGACTCCAAGGCTATCTGCTTACAGCAGGTGTAACACCACTGCTTTGAACGATACCATGTGTCTTAGTGTACTTATCATGATTAGATCAATAGCATTGCTTCCCAATCTGCTCAGAACATTCAGCAACTAATCTTACCAAATAATATTATAATTAAATACCTACAATATGATTATTTAAATTCTTATTAAGTTGTTGTCAGCTTACAATATTTTCTATCTTCTGTACACAGCATCAACCATTAATATTAAAAACAAAAATTTACAAAATTAAAATAAAAATCGATGATCACATTCATCACATCACATTTGTGCATTATCTGTATATCATTCTGCTAAAACCCAACACAAAATGCAACTGTCATGTAAGGGTAGCTTGAAAATTAGAACGGTTTTCAAATGAGTGTCAGAAAACCAAAACCTAACTACCGGTAGCTACTTACCAATTAGACTACTCAGCCAATCTCAAACTGTAGTAAAGCCAAAACCAAACCAAAGTAATTGACTGAAAACCACTCTATCCAGAATAATAATGCTTAATGACCACAGGATAACAGAAATCAACAGAATTATTAATTTTTCTTAATATACATCATACCCTTGCACAATTTAATTGAATTCATATCTTGGTCCATTAGTCAGAATCGTTAAAACTGCCTTCAAACAAAAGTAATAGTAATAAATGAATCTCTCCAGATGTCATTGTTTACATTTCGCTTCATTTCACACACAAGCCTCCACAAAAAAGGCATAAGATTATGCTAGACGCATGTACAACTTGACTCCAAATGTTTTTAAAGAGCTTGTGACACTTGATTGTCACACATGTTTGAAGTTAAGGCGACTTTATCAATTTGTTGGATTAGGCAACTTTCTGATCAAAATAATTACGTGACAAACAATTCTAATAAGCACTATTACACATGTAAGTGAAAATGCTCCTAAAAATTAGGAAATTTGCCACTGACTTAGTAACTTAAAAATCAAAGCACTATATGTATACATGTAGGTATAATTATATGAACACATATTTTATATTTATTCTTCTGAATCAAACCAAGAGCACTTGATTCTTGTCTTCTGATGAATTCCTCCATTAACTGCACATTGTTTATCCTTTAAGAGAAACTGTGTCGATTGCAATCTTCTCTCACCAAGGCTTCAAACACAGGTCACCAATTGGATGACAACAACAATGACATAAACCCACATGTACAGTGTACACAGAGTAGGTCATTCAAACCCAGGATTCTGTGATGCTGTGCTAAATTAAGCAGATGAGTGTTTTTCCATCTGAAATTTCATCCTGAACTTCATCACTTGATGTGGACTTCTCTGCTTGAGCAGATAACAAAGAGCATAGAAACGATGACAAAGTTCCTCCTAGCACAGCATAAAATGCCCATCCCATAGAGCAGTCATTGAGTACGAATGCTCCAGGTTTTTGAACAGATGGCCTTGTGCAAAGTTCATCAACTATTTCATTACCCCAGCCAGCTGGATAGAGAACAAGACCAATGACAAGGAACAGGGCTGAAAAAAAATATTGATATTAATATTATTAAAATGTTAACTTTGACTGAAATAATTGAATTACACTGTACCACCTGCAGTGATTAGACCTCTGTGGATTTTACATGTTAACACCATATTCCATCAGCTTTGATCTAATCCTGACTCTACAATGTTAATAGGTCTATTTCCTTTAATAGGATTTGAAACATTTCTCCATCCATCTTCCATACTCAGTGCTATTAAACAACTATTAACCATAAAATGCTTCTAAAGATTCAAGAAATATTGTATATGTGGGATGGATGATTGGCCTGGTTTGTAAACAGAAAGTTCTGTTGAATTTTCTGCTCCAACGAATGAAATGCTACCATTTTTATTCACATTCATGTGTGATGTTTTGAGACAAACGAGACTTGATCCTGAAGTATTACAAAGAAATTTTCTCTTCAAGGCCTCCATGTTGTTTTGATACAAATGGATTATCCTTTAAGTAAAAATACAGCTCTGGATTTTTCTTGAGAAGGATAATCTGTCTAGACCCTAACTGCAACAGGAAATTTCTTTAGTGTTCAGTTTCTTATAAAGAAGTTGATCAAAGGGCACATCGCCTATGAATATTTAGTTTTCACATATACTTAGGAAAATTAACACAACACTGTAAGCCAATAAAATTTTAACCAAACAAACAAGCCTGTTATTATATATTAAATAATGATATAAGCGACAAAACAAGCTTTGCAGCAGGGGACTGATCCAAATTATCTGTAAATATTAATACCTTTCACAAGCTAGATAATAAGTTAGTTTTGCTAGGGCGGTTAGGGCTTCATTCTGGTAAGGCGTTATTTTGGGCAAGGGGAGGGAGGAGGATTCTTACCAACTATATTCATTTGATACTACCTGGGGAAATTATGCATTTGAATACTGGACATCTACAGTAACTTAAGTGTAAATATAAGAGCTTTAACTGTATGTAAAGTTGAATCTCTTTTCAATGGCTACCCTACAGGACAACAAAAAAATATGTTGCTACAAAGTGAGTGGGGGAGGTGGAGTCACAAGGAATGAACATGGATCTCCAGGCTGTCAGGAATACCTGACTAACATAAGAAGTTGGCCTGTATTAAAGGAAGTTCACCCTCAACAGTACTGTACACAGTATCAGTAAAATTAGAATTTACATTATATCTGGTAATACCTGCAATAGCCTGTATCAATCCACCAAGTGAGAAAATAGACTTCTTCCCAACACTCTGTACACAGAATCCAACTAATGACATGATTACAGCAACCCCAAGAATAAATGTTCCAAAGCACAGGAACACCATACAGGCTTTCCATGCACCTGACGGAATTTCCATAAAGTCTTTCACATAAGAGTAACAGTTGAGCACAGGATCCCCACCAATCACTTTTTGGATTTTTTTACAGCGGTTGTAGATCCCAACAGATGGTCTGTACATTGCCTCATCAGGAACAAATACACTGGAGTTATATGCCTGATCATCAAAGATTCTCGATCTTCCATACAGCCACTTTGGTGTCATGATTCCCGCAATCACAGCCAGGGTTGCCACCACAGACAACACCATCCATAAAATGTTTCTTGTTGTAACAATAACATAGCAGTCTACCATCTTGTCGAGATTTGTTTGTTACTGTACCATTAAGTTGTATATTGATCAGTCCTTTGACGATGACAGTGGTTTAATCTGAAATAGGAAATATAAAAACTAAAATGTGATGTTAAAAATGCATGGTCAAAGAGGATTGCTTTTTGAAATGAAATGTTTTCAGACATTGTAACAAAAAAAATTCATGTAGACACTAAAGATATTCTAGAATCATATCTCATGTTTCCAAAGATTTGCTTGTTTATTATTTTAAACAAACATCTCTGATACAAAGAGAAACATTTGCAGTCAAACATCAACACTGTTCAACAGGTGCTAACTGATATTCCACAACCCATGGGGTCTGATTTGGGCTCCATTACCAACGGCTGTTCTGGAAAGGAGCCATCTCTTCTCTGGGAGGATTGCATAGACCAGACGCAAGAGAGGGGCAGAAATCAAGCCTAGGTCTGACTTAAAGGCAGAAAAAAACAAAATTATACTGCAATCCAAATTAACATCAATTATATATCACCAAGCACTTCTCAGCATTTCTACCAGAACAAAAACTCTATCTGCCCCTCATGTTTGCTTTTTCAGGAAAAGAATTTCCCATATCAAACGTAATCTTCGAAGCCTTGTTCTTGTCTTTCTCAACCCAAGCCAGAGGAAATAGCTAAATTTTCAATCTAAAATCACGCTCAACTGGAATATATTTACGATATTTTCATAACAGCTACCTGCCAAACATTTACACACAATATCCTCCTTTTTTTCCATCTATCCTCATTGTGGCATTTCATTTCATGTTGACATCCGTTATTACTTCTCATTAATGTTTCTCAAGAAAATATTCAGGCTTACAATCTTATCAGTTAAGAATTAGGGCTTAAATTAAGGTGTAATCTAGATTGAAGTGGCTCTGAAATAAGTGTCTTGACTAAGTGTCAAATCTTATGGTGAAAGGCAGGATGCAGCTATGTATAAGACAGGGCTGGGCAAAAGCTGAAAAAGAAACAAAAACTGACAAACGCAAAAATTCATCAAACTTGAGCGCAGAGGAAGATCTAGACACCAGATATGGAAAAACTATATTTGTCTTTAGATATTTCCATTTGAGTCTGCAGGGTGAGATAAACAAGACTCCAAAAAATACCCAAATATGCGTCAAAGGAATGCGATTACAGAGATATAAATGAAAGGCCACAGAATCTCTTTGACAGAGATTACTATCAAAGTAAATGGGCCATTTCCCTCCGGATGTTTACACAGTTCAATTACTGACAGTTCGAGCCATTGAAGTTCACGAGATAAAACAAGTGTATTACATTTCTGGAATTCTCGAATTTTTCTTTTGAAAATTAGCGAAGGAACGCATATCGGTTTACTGCAGTATTTATAACGTTTTTCGGTCAGATCCTGTACAGATTTACAAAAAAAATTCAGTATCGTATCAATATCGTATGACAAATCAAATGCAACAAAATGTAACGTGAACCGCGCGCGACACAAATTGAAAACAAAATGGTCTGACGACACGACAAAACCATGCTGTCATCAAGATATCATGACGAAAATTAATATCTACAAAACTCAGCACATTAACTCTGCCAACCGGAGACCCAGTTGAAAGCCCTCTTCATGACTTCTTGATTCGTGCTCAACCATTGTTGGTCACTATACATGCATTAAATTCAGCCATCAGCTATTTCACCTCGCACCGCCAAAGGTCATAAATTTCTCACTAGTAGTTGTCTTTTTTTTTTTCCAATATGCGAAAAGCGTGCCGAACGGGGGACGACAATAAATGCGTTATCAATCTTGCGCAAGATCTTTCAATCGATTCTCCAAAAAATTTAACATCGGGAAATCAGACTTGAAAGACGTGTTACGGTAGGAAGCCATAACCATTAATTCTTGCCTCGGTTGCTTTGTTCCAAACAGAATGAAATAGATTTGCGAAACATTTTCCTGCTGTGGGCTGTTTATAAAATCGAAACTGCGGACGTGACTGACCTCAGGCAGATAGAAATAGCTTTTCCTGATTTCTCTCTGCGTAAAAGACACAAACAACTGGAGTACAAAAGAGAGGGATTACTTAGAGAAAAGAAGTAAGGAAGTCGGAAACAATATGGTAACACCAAAATCAGACAAAATACAATCAATCGCCCCGAAACTGCGGGCAGATGAAGTCACGACATACAAAAATCCAAAGAAAACCCCACTATCTGTCCAATCCTATTTACCCAGTCAAAGAACAGAGAAAATCAGGAAATCTGCACTTATTATTGTCCAGCACAATGTCTTTTAGCACTTGTGGAAAAAAAGGAAATTAATTAATACAATTTTGTGTTTTTGGCTTCGAGGTGTAAAATACACAAGGTAGTAAAAGGTGTTTGCCCAGACAGATATAAAAAATACGACCAAAGAAATGGATAAAAGTTTTGTAAACATAGTTCGAGAATCTTTGATCAAACCGACACCCGGCACAAGATTCTTGTTTATCAAATATCAACAAGGTTTCTCCAGCACTCGCGGTTATCTAATCAACAACCCATCGTCAAAAAGACAATAAACCAAGGAAAGATTTCTCCCCTTTTTCGTTGAAAATATGCAAAGCGTTTGCAGATCGTTGACACGAACAAAACAAAACATGCATCAAGGAACAAATCTTGCTACCGCCGTTTTGTTTGTTATCATTTCAAAGAAACGATCAACATCCTTCGACCACAAGACCAAAGGAGCCCGATTAATTAACAAAGAAATTTTTTCTCATAAAGATCAGACCAGAATCACTTCATTTAGTGACCAGATAAAATGAACAGAGTCTAAATCTCTTTCCCATGTCTCTCTACGAAACAGACACCTGTGGAATACAGAATTATTCATTTATTCACGAAGTTTCGCGTGTTTATGCTCAGACAGATGCCAGTTCCCACGATTCGAGGCGGCCAAGTCGCGAAATCAAACAAACAAGACCAAACAAGCTACTAAAGATCCCTTTAAGCTTTAAAATCCGAGACATCAACAACATTTGTATCTATCGTGGCCTGAGAATATACATACGCCGTAAGCATTTTCATCGCAGCTTTTGAGTTGTGACAAATGACCGATTCAACAACAACAAAGAATCAAAGTGTACTGTCTTACAAATCACATGTGAGCCAACTTACTCCACTGAGGCACCGAAATTTGATTTTTAAAACTTCAAATAATTTCTACAGCAACGAGCTACTTTTTCTCACAACAGATACGCTGTAAAAGCTAATAATTATTTCTCACAACGGCTTACCTCAAGTTGTGGTTTATATAGATCAGTAATTTGCTTTCTTCTGTGTCTGTATTCGCCCGAAATCGTCTTCTCTTCGCTATCGAAAGCTTTTTAAATCCGCTAAAATAGAGTTTCAAATGAGAAATGATGATAATGTACTACGTGGAGGAATCCCCAGAAGTTTGTGACCGGAGTTATGTATAACGCCGCAAAATGATAGTTCGTACAGCGCGAGACTGATCCGGAAACCCCACGGATATTCGGGAAATTCATCTCATATTACATCTGAATCGAGGCGTGACGCTTTCTTATCACTTGTCCATCAACAAAGAAAAACGCCCACAGCAGTGTAGACCCTCGGGATTACTGAAAATCCCGATAAAATCAACACTCGAATGCTTGCTCGAACAGCTCTGGAACATTCAATCGGCCTAACCAAGGGGATTGCGACTGCAAATACTTAGCACAATGAAAATTATTGTTCTTGAAAAACGCACGTGCGTTTTGCCAGCTCCTAATGCATGCTTCGCGTTTACTTTCACTCAAAAAAAAAAAAAAAAATTGGCGTAAAAAAACCTCTCCGTGTGGTCGGTCGAAAATTCGAAAAAGCTGTTGATTATTTACCAAAAAATCCGCAACGAGGCCCACTGGCTGGCAGTGGAGATTTTTTGGAAAATGTGTCTTATATGTAGAGAAATTAAAGTGTAGTTAAACGTTCCTTTATCAGAAAAATTGAGAATTCATTTGGTGTTGAAAATTGATTGCATGACGTAACTACAAATACCACAAATTCTTATCCCGGGTCAGGTTTGTAGGCGTTACACACAAGACGTCAACAATTCTAGTCATGTGTACATGTGCGAAAGCAGAAGCATCTCAACTTTCCATAAGTTGGACATCTTCATTCACAAATCTTGAACCAAGCTCGGGCTCTCTCTGTTCAGGAAACGAGCCCGCTCTCTTTTAGAATCGAGCCTACCAGTTGCGGTAGCTTCGGAATTCGAAGGTGATGGAATCGACAAAAACAATAAACTTAACTTCTAAAACCATCACATTTAATCGCGAATCCGAGCTAATGTTTAGTCCTTTGTTCTTCTTCATAAAATCTCAAGTGCCAGTTGAAACGAAATAATCAAACACACATAAGTAAAAATTAATTAGGGTGTAGTTTATTAAATGGTTCTTTGTTTCAGTGATCAAATAGTAATGATTGAGGAGCGAGCCAATAGTCAAGAGCCATATTTTGACGGAAATAGGCTACGGAAATATATGCTTTCATCCACACAAGGATCTCTTTAGTGTGAAGACCACACGTACTCACAACTTTTCGTCTGGTTTGATCTCCTTGTTAATTAAGGCTTCTCAATTTCCTTCCTGTTTTGGCCTTTTCTCAACTTAGTTATTTTTGGAGAACTCGTCGTCTTGGTTTTTGTCCCGGGGGAGGGGGGGGCACTGCCATATATGGGCTATATAGGTATGTGCCGCTGTGAAGGGTATGGTTTTCAAGCAGTTTACTCTAGGATAG